CTATTGAGCATGAATATATGAAATATTATCTCATGTTTTTATTGTTATTGTGACTGTTATTTATCAAGAATGTTTTGTCGTTGACGTAAGTTAACTTGTTCATATGGAAATTTGATTATCTTTTTCAGAATTGCATAATATTACATTCATTTAAATGACTCTCCGTGCTGTTAAACAACTAATATTGATGACAAATTATTGCCTTAATAAAATGGTAGTATTTCTTTCTATTCTTTATAGCAGTTTTTCTTTAATCATTCGACATAAGAAGCGCCGTTTAAGAATCTTCTGCTGCTCTAGAGTCGGGGTTTTCAAAAACCAATTCGATCTAATTTTTTTTAAAAAATAATGTTAAAACTTATACTCTAAAACAATCTTTCATAGAGACCAGTAGCGTCACGATCAGGTTAACTCTTGACACTACAATTGAGGAGCGCAAAAATTAAGTAAATCCACAACCTTCATAACTTTAATTTTCTTCTTTGTAAATACTCTAATAAAATAGAAACATAACATAAAGTAGCATAATGAAACCACAACAAATAAAGGGTCGACCGTGAATGAGTAAACATTTAATTGTAATTAAGAGAATTGTATGAAATTGTCGATAATCCAATTGCTTAGAAAAAGAAGTAAGCATACAACCTCTTTTTATTTCGTAGAAGACTAAATTGGAAACGGTCGACCTTTTCATTTGGACCAACTGTTTGCCAACATTATTTAATTGTAAATCGAAATATATTGAAATAAGGCGGAAAGAAGAAAAAAATTGAAAAGAGGTAAATTAAATGAGAAATGCTCTGTTTGCTGAATACATACTTTAGAAAGTTTATTGTAAAAATTATTTCTATTTCGCTCGAATATCGTCCGTTTAATAATGATTAGGAAGGAAAGAATGACACACAATGTAATTTTATGTATTGAATCTATTCTTCATTATTGAATGCGACAGTCACTAAATATTCGCAAAAAATCAGAAAATTATTTATATAGGACAACAGAACCTGTATATTAGTATTATAATGTTATGACACAGACCTTACTAATCAAGACTCTTATAGCTTTCTTAATAATTTGACTTTTAAGATTAGAATCTTGCAAGGAATTTGACATTTACTAAAAATGTTATATGAAATGAATCGGAAATTCTTAAGATTCTTTGTACCACAAGTCACATAAATAATTTCATAATTAACTTAGAAATATCAAAAGAAAAAGGAATAAAAATAAATTTTTAGAATAGAATGTTAAATTAGAAGCAAGATCTTATTAAAAAACTTTTATTGACATATACATTTGAATATAGGATTATTGAATGTATTTCATTTCCTGATTGAGTCAACAGTTGATGTCTATTATTTGCAAATGGAATTATATTACTTTTTGAATTCTTTAGTGTTTTAGCAAAGCTATTTAAAAGTTTTGTAATTATTCTTCTTGCGACTGATAACTAGAGCTATTCAGGGAACCCTCCAAAACCCAACCCGATTTACATATCTTTACCCAGGGAGTATGTTAATCAAAGAAGACTGTTTCTAGAAGAGAGGTCATGACAGGAGTGATTTAAGAATAGTACTTTTCTAAGCACCACAAAATAATTCATATTACGATGCTCCAAAAATATTTTGGACGGTTAAATTAGAACCTTTTATGTCGCTATCAATCAATACGCTATGAGCAGGGTGGGGAGAATTTCATGAGTTAATTCACAATTCAAAATTCAAAAAATGAATTTGAGTTAAAATTCCGTTACAAAATGAGTTTGAAAATGAATTTGAATTTAAATCATTTTTGAAAATAAGATTTTTTTTTGAGTTTGAGTTTTAACTCATTTTTCAAAATAAATTATGAATCAATCCATAATTCTTGTTGATATGACTTGCTGCATATTTTGGATGTTTTGGTTGCAATTCTGTTCAGAATTTTTGGAAGATAATGAAGGAATAAGAGTTTATGGATTTGAGGAAATGACTGAATGATAAAAATGTTCATGTATTTGTTCAGAGATGAATTTTATATGAAAAGGAATTTAGGGAGTTTTTAAAACTCCAATTCAAAACTCCACTCAATTTTCCAGATGAGTTTAAACTCAAATTCTTCTTTCAACTCCTTTTGAAAATGAGTTTAAACTCAAACTTTAACTCAAATTCATTCAAAACTCATCGGAAAATGAGTTTGGATTTGAGTTTTGAGTTAACTCCCACCCTGGCTTTGAGTACCAAAAACCTTTAAAAAATTATCTTCTTTATTGCTGTTATACTTCCTCAAATAGAGCAAGATCAAAAAGCTTTGATCCGTAATTACTCTGTGTCATGTTTGACATCAACGTCTTCCTTAAAAGTGCTTGAAGGGTTATTGAATCATCAAAAACAGAATAAAGGAAAGAAACGCAAAGAGCAAAAAGAGATCAACACAATAAAAATCCATGAATGAAATTCAATTCATCCAGACCTATTCAACGAAGAACGATCACCAAAGTATTTTTTTGTGTGTTTGTTTTTTTATTTTTTTCTTCGTTTTGCCTCGCGGTCACATACTAAGCATAAGGTGGCACAACGTTTTCTTATTCCATATATACATACTCATACTCAATTTTTTTTTGCCTTTAAAAAACCGGAATGATAAAAATAGACTTAAAGTTTTTTTTGTATTTTTCAATTTAACATTTTTTTATCGAAATAAAAAAAAAAGTTAAAGAAGAAGCGAAAAGCAAGCATCACAAGAAAAAGCCTCTTGAGAGATTCTTGTTGTGTCGAGTTGTCGTGCGTGTCGTATGTTAAAGTAGAAAGATCTCTTCCAGTTCGTAAATAAAAAAAAGATGTTCTAAACTGAACAACAAAAAGAAATGAATGAAACCTTATTGGATATAAAAACAGGAATTTCTTGTGATTGGCGCCAATTGATAGTGTGCGGATTTCGATAAGGTGTTTAATGAATAAAAATGAAAAATCTGCATAAAAAATTAACAGAAATGTGAAGACGTAGTGAGATTATCGAGAGGTGGACTATAAATAAGAGGATCTTGTCTAACTGTTGCTCCATTGATTTTTTTTTTCTTACTTCTAAACTTTATTCTTCTATTCCGACAAGTTGTTTTTCTCCTATTCTATTGATACCACTGATTGAATGACCATCCCAATGACTTCGCTAATGCTTGACAGTCAACAATGTTGGTAATTTGTTTCTCACAGTTAAATCAACGAGAAAGACGTAACCGGTTAAATTGCCAGACTCATCTTTTCTCAAACACAAGAATCAATTTCAATAAAATGACACGATGTCTGCTAAAGTTTAAATAATTAAAATTATTTTGTGGTTAAGTTAATCGTATTTCGCAAAAATATGCCGAACTTTTATAAAATTCCGTCCAGAGTTGTAAATCGGATAGTATTTTTCTCATGAGCAAAACAATTAAAATTAATTTGTAAAAATGCGTCATACATTCTTTAATTTTCAAATTATCTATTCATTCACAGTTTGTGCTTTTACGGCACATCCATATCTTTCCCAAACTTTGCAATCTAGAGCTCCTTTCTACTTATTAAAAACAAACTTAAGAAAAAAGGAATTTTAATATACAGATTCCCATCGTTTCTTTCTTCATTTCTCTCATTCCTTCTTACAGCCGTTTTATGTATATAAATCATAAAATTAATCCAATCACAGTTTGTGGATGGAAAAAAAACTCAAAAGACACAAACTCTCAAAAAAAAAAAAAAAATCATGCAGAAAACGATGGAAAAATTTGAGAATCATCGGAATAGGAACATAAGTATAAATGGCTCATTTGCATATTTTATTTGTATTGTGCAATCTTTTCATTTTTTTTATCATCATCTCTTTCTTTTTGTTCGCTAAATGCAAAAAAAAGTTCGAATCGCAACAAAAAGGATATTACCTTACATTTCCTTTTTTTTGTCACCGGATTAGATATGTAGATATTTAATTTATGATAAAGCAATAGCCAGAAGATTTGCAATCAAAATTTAAAATCCCTAATGTCATAATCAAAGCACCAATATTAAAAGTTATAAATCATACTCATCAATTTCGTTCCTTTTTCCCATTGCTCAGTTTTGGTACTTTTCGATTACTACTAGATCGCGATCTTTTATTTCTTGACAATGCTCGAGATCTGGATCTTCTCCTTCGTGCGCTTTTTTTCGAATTCTTGGGATATCTTCATCTTCTATATCAGAAGCAACATCGACATGTCTCTGACATTTGAGCCAAATATATTCTCGATTAATTGTTGGTGCAGTTATTATACAATCCATCGTTTCTACAGAGTTGGATATCCCTTTAGTGAGAATGCAAGAATCAGAAGATGATCCAGCTGTGATTGAAATGTATTTCCAAGATATTTAAATACAAATTAGATTTTTTATTGGTGAATTAAGCTTACATTGGTTTGATTGAATAGTTGAACTTTTCGTATGATTCATGCTTGACAATTTGTAGCTTTTTTGATAAAATTGATGTTTAAACGTTAAAAGTTCTTTCGAAACAATTAATTTTTTTAAGAAGCAATGAAAACTGCCATGATAAATTTTTGAGAAATCCCAAAAGTTTTTATTTTGGTATGAACAATTAACAGCTGTTCTTAAAGAGCTAGAAGTCATCGATTCTGGAATAAAATAAAATTCTGAATGAATTTTGATCTTTGAAATCCTATCAAAAATGATTCATTCATTATTTTAAATGACAATGTCTGCATACTCATATCCTAGTGAGCTATATATTACTCATGAAATCATTAAAACTAGTTTCCATATTGAACAGAATCAATGGACACATTAAAAATGAATATCAGACTTTATGAATAAGAGGAAAAGAAGAAGAAAGACAAAATAGAGTTTTTAGCATAATTAAATAGATGATGACATCATTCTTTCATATGATTAACATTAATGTTATTTTCTCTGTCATTTTCAGCAATTTTTTGATATTTTTTATTCGTATGATCGAGAACGGCCCCGCATCATTGCCGCATTGGGGCCATGTCTGTACTACGAACTATTGTCATAAATATTGTGGCAATAATACTTATAATTGCCACTTTAGGATTAGTGGATGGAAGTCAGTTAAAAACAATTTTAAATGTTGGTTACCTGACAGCAATTAAAGGCGATCTTAAGGATCGCCAGGGTCTTGCCATATCTGGTGCAATTCAAATGGCACTAGAAGAAATTAATGATGATCCAAAAATTTTACCAAATGTAACATTAAATCTTAAATGGAATGATACGAGAGGTGAAACAGTGACTGCAACACGTGCCATAACTGAAATGATTTGCGATGACGTATCAGTTATTTTTGGACCGGAAGGCACCTGTTATGTTGAGGCAATTGTAACACAAAGTAGAAATATTCCCATGATAGCTTATGTAAGATTTCTTTTTGTGCTCCTCATTTTCGTCTACGTGCTTGATCCCCTAATTTCCATATTTTTTTTTCTTTCTTACTAATAGAAATGTTCAGATTTTCAAGCTTCAGCAATTCCAACGTTTGCAAGAACAGAACCACCCGACACTCAAGTGAGTCATTGACATTTTATAATGAAATCATTTTAATATTAATGACCATACATTTATCTAGATATCAAACAGCCAAAAATAAACCTCTTTTAACATATATTATATGCTTTTTAAAACTTTCGTATTCCCAAAAAAAAATTCAGGTGACCAAATCAGTTATTTCGTTGCTAAATTACTATCGATGGAGCAAATTCACAATCATTTATGAAGAAAAATGGGAAAGAGTTGCAGAATCACTGACTCAACAAGCAAAAGCACACAATAAAACGATCAATCATAAAAGGCAGGTGGTCGATCGTCACAAATGCTGTGAGAATAATATGGACTGTTGTAGGCCAGGCTATTGGTACAATGTATGTCGGTTTCTTCTTCATCAACCTTTTAAAAAAAATATCATTTCATTCACTAACTTATACACAATGAATAAGATCTCACGAGAATTGACTTCTTCTGATTCTCCTTCTTTCACTCTCAATGGGCTATAAAATAAAGAAAATGTAAATTTAAAGGCTTAAAAAAGAAATCAAAAGAGACGTCTTGTGTTGTCTAATAATGCTATTACGGTGCATTTGAGGAATAATTCGTGGTTTTTAATCTATTGATCCTGTCTGTTTAATTTAATTAGTAAACTTTCACAAAGAGCCTTTATCGGTTTGAACCTAATTTTTAATAGATAAGCAGTAAAGATAATCTGATGAACAGCTTTACTTCCTAAGCTAGTTTTGCTATTGATATTTATTTATTTATTTTTCATTATTCGGTTAATTTACAAACACAACATATGCTTAATAAGACCAAAAGTGGAAGAAGGAGAAGTTGTTGATCATCAACAATCTATCGTCATCAGCAGAATGACGAAGAAGAAGAAGAAAATACTTTTGGAAAAAAATAAATTAAAATTTTTCGCGTGTTGTGTGTGTGTGTTTTTGCATGCCGCTCGCGCTCTTAATCATTAAGCTTCGAGTTGCCTATTTAACATATTTTATTTTATTCTCTCCATTCCCGTCCATAATGAAATAATTAAAAACCAGATCATTCAGAATACAATGAATGGAACGAGAATTTACATATTCTTGGGAACACCTGATGCTTTGGTAGACATGATGGGATCTATGGAGTCAATTCAGTTGTTTGATAAAGGCGAATATATGGTGATATTTGTTGATATGATGAGCTATTCTGCTGAGTAAGAAGTTAATTCTTTAAATAAATGGACTTTTTTATGAATTTTAATTTTCTCCTTCTTTTAATCCATTTCGACTTTCAGGGAGGCCAAAAAATATTTATATCGACTCGATCATTTCAGCAAATATAAGTCATGCAATGAAATCGAAGGTTTTACAAAGAGAGCTAGAAGTTTAATCGTCGTCGTTAGTACCCCACCGACAAAAAATTATGAAGAGTTTACTGCCAAAGTTCGAATCTTTAATGAGAAGCAGCCATTTGAATTCAGAAATCCAAACTTTCCCAACAAACAATTTGTTAAATTTGTCTCGATCTATGCTGCATATTTGTATGATGCTGTTAAATTATATGCAAACGCATTGCACAAATTGCTAAAGAAGGAGGAACATGTGCGACCGTTAACAGATGATGTGATAAGAGAAATTGCAAGCAACGGAACTGCCATCATAAATGCCATAATTCAAGAGAAAAAATATCCAAGTAAATTAATCACTTTTTCTATATAGCTATTAAGCCTCTACTGATTTATGAAAATTAACGAATAAATAATATCAGATAATGGTGTAAATTTGTCGAGTAAGAAGTTCTTACCAGAACTGCATAATGCTGCTAAAGGGTCATTCACATTTAAACCTATGGATGTCTTGAATTCTCGTAGAATGTAAATTTGTTAACCTAATTTGTGAACGATACCTTTAACACTGATTATCAAAACTTCAGATTCAAAATAATACTCTACAGATGAATTACTCTTATTTACCAGGTGTAACTGGTGCTGAAATTTGGATTGATGAGAATGGAGATTCTGAAGGAAATTTCTCAGTTCTAGCACTAAAAGAGTCACATTTCTCAACAAAAGATTCCAATTTTACATGTGATCGTCATATGGTTACAGTTGCAACATTTCAAGGCCGAAATAATAACAATTCTCTTCCAGTAAGTAGCTATTGAGCAAGCTTTTCATCCTATGCAGTGGTTCTCAAACTATTTGGCACAACAGATGAAATAATAAACTAATTTATGAGCATTTTTCCACTCAATAAATTTTGTACTGCATTGTGTTTGAAAAAGTTTGAGTAGCACTGCTATACACATTGATAAGTTCAATCCTAATTCATACCAACTTTTAACTTAATTTAGGAATACAAATTCAACAACATTTTGCGTATAGATTGGCCAAGCGGTGTGATTCCGACAGATGAACCACAATGTGGTTTCTTAAACGAGCAGTGCATAAAAGATGACAGGCATGTCATTTCAATGATTATAGCTGGCTCCTTAGGTTTGATTTTGTTCTGTTCTGTTGTGGTTACAATAAGTATTTATCGTAAGTGGAAAACTGAGTTGGAAATTGAAGGACTTTTGTGGAAGATTGAGCCAAATGAAATTAAAGGATATTTTAATAATGATATTGTTTCATCGCCTAGCAAAGTAAGTTTAAAGCTATAGTTTCAAAAAAATTTTGACTTTACCATTTAATATACTTCAAATCCTATAGCTTAGTCTTGTTAGTGCAGCCAGCTATGGATCAAGATATCAAGTTTGGACTACCACAGGAAAGTTTCGTGGTGTAATTGTAAGAATAAAAGAACTGAAGTTTTCAAAGAAAAAAGACATGTCAAGAGAACTGATGAAAGAATTCCGAACATTACGTGATCTGAGACACGATAATATAAATAGTTTTATAGGTACGAACATCATAGATTAATAAACTTGAACTTATAGTTTGATTAATAAATTAATTAATTGATTACGTGTAGGAGCTTGTGTAGAGCCCATGAGAATTTTACTAGTCACTGATTATTGCGCTAAGGGAAGTTTATACGATATTATAGAAAATGAAGATATAAAATTAGATAATTTGTTTATTGCATCATTGATTAATGACTTAATCAAGGTAAATTGAATATATGATTTTCTCTCCATAAATACATGATTTTATTTGAATTGTCCATAGGGTATGATCTACATTCACTCATCAACATTAGTATTCCATGGAAATCTCAAGTCATCAAATTGTGTCATAACGTCGCGATGGATGCTGCAAATCACAGACTTTGGATTGCATGATTTACGACATTGTGCAGAGAGTGGATCTGTTGGAGAGCATCAATATTATAGAAGTAAGTAATACAAAATGTGATTGGAAATTCCTGTTTTAAATCCTTATCATGTTCTTATCAGGTTTATTTTGGAAATCTCCTGAGCTTTTACGTAATCCAAATATTTACGGTAGTCAGAAAGGTGATGTATATGCATTTGCCATAATTCTCTATGAGATTTGCGGAAGAAAGGGTCCCTTCGGCAGTACAGATTATGAACCAAAGCAAATTATTGATTTAGTCAAAGATATTCCAACCGATGAAAGACAACCATTTCGTCCCGACATGGATTGTCTTCTAGATTCTGATAACTGTCCTGATTATGTTATCAGTTGTATACAAGATTGTTGGAATGAAAATCCTGAGTGTCGTGATGATTTTCCCACAATAAGAACACGACTGAAAAAGATGAGGGATGGAAAGTCTAAAAATATAATGGATCAAATTATGGAAATGATGGAAAAGTACACAAACAACCTGGAAGATATTGTCAATGAAAGAACACGCTTATTGTATGAAGAAAAGAGAAAGACAGAAGATCTTCTTAATCGAATGTTACCACAATCTGTTGCTGAAAGACTTACCATGGGACATGGCGTTGAACCTGTTACTTTTGATGCTGTAAGCTCACTTACAATGAATTTATTGATTACAATTTAACTTTTATGTGTTGCAGGTCACGATATACTTTAGTGATATTGTTGGGTTTACGCAACTTTCGGCTGAAAGCACACCTCTGCAAGTTGTCAATTTTCTTAATGATCTCTATACAATCTTCGATAGAGTCATTAAGGGCTACGACGTGTATAAAGTTGAAACTATTGGTAGTTAATCTAAAAAGCCTTTCATATCTATTCAATTAATTAAAATTTTATTTTAGGTGATGCCTACATGGTAGTCTCCGGTTTGCCTATTAAGAATGACGACCGTCATGTGGGTGAAATCGCATCGATGGCTCTTGATCTACTTCAGGCTGTAAAGAATCACAGAATCGCACACAGACCGACCGAAACACTTAAATTAAGAATTGGAATTCATACGGGACCAGTTGTAGCCGGTGTTGTTGGATTAACAATGCCAAGATATTGTCTCTTTGGCGATACAGGTATGCTGTTGAATTCTAAAATTTTATAAGTTAATCAAGTTCATAAACCTTTTTCGTTTATCTTACAGTGAATACAGCATCAAGGATGGAGTCATGTGGCGAGCCATTAAAAATTCATATTTCACCACAATGCAAAGAAAAATTAGACAAATTAGGAGGCTATATAACAGAAAAGCGTGGCATAGTATCGATGAAAGGAAAGGGTGATGTTGTGACTTATTGGCTTATAGGTAAGCAGAGGTTGCAATCTTTTTTTTAACATTTTATTTATATGTTTTGAAATCTACAGGAGCCGACGAATGTGCCATTCAAAAACGAAATGTTGATTTAAGAGACTTACCACCGCCATTATTTTGTCGACCTCGAAAAAGTCCCAAATATATTAGTGACTCTAAACAACCGTCAATATCATGTATTACAAATTTTGGAACGTCAGATAATAGAAGTATTCTTTGTGAGAGTCGAAGACAGTCAAATGCACAGCGGAATGATAATGATGGTGCTTATAGTCTGCAAGGATCATATAGAGACTCATCCTCACCATTCATATGCAAGCAACGAAAACATGATATCACACCACTTTACATTAACAATAACGATACAGAAATGAGCTGTGTCAATGACACGACAGATGATTTGCGAAGAGATACCATGAATGGAAGTGGTGAGAAACCTTATGCCATGGTTCGACCTCAACAAAATATAACAAATAGTTCAAACGATGATATTAGTAAGTTGGAAATTCCAGATTACGTGACCGATTTAATGATCGTGACTTTTCATTTATTTTTACGCGAATCTTTTGATGTTTTCTTCTTTTTTTCTATCCACCTGCCTGTTTATGTTGTTCTGTAGCTTAACAAGACAGAATCAAATTTACATTATGTTTGTCATCCTCACATTTGTTTCTCATTTTAGGTTCATTAAGGCCATTTGAATTAAATGAAGATCACAGTAATTTTAAAAAGAGCTATTCGCTCGATCCCTTTCCAGTACCCGATTATCATCAAACCAGTAAACAAAACAATGAAAATTTTCGTAAACGTAAGAACAACGTAAGTGAACCTCTTAAAACAGTCAATGGTGGAATTATAACATCATCACGAACCCAAAGATCTGATCATATACCACTTTTAAACAAGAATATGAAACGATGGCATTCGTTAGAATTAGAAGCAGTGCGTACCGATGTTGATCATGAAGAATGTAGTGGCTGTGAAGAAATCATTGGTACTAAAAAGTCATTAGGTCGTAACATTAAGTCATGGTTGATTGGAATATTTCAAAATCAAAGTAGAAGTTCCAATGGACAAAATGGAAGTGGTTTGCTTTCGCAACAGACATCAAGTGCAATTGTTAGGAATAGAGCAGATAATGAAAGTATGAGTGTTGTGTGAACAAAACAAATGGATAAATCTCTTAAAATTTAAGTAGATGTGTGAATTAAAATAAAGTTGATGAAATTATGTGTACAAGTCGTAGATTTCTTAAATCCAATCTTATACTTTTTAATTCCATTTCTAGGTGATTTTATTTAACTTTACAGGATTACAATTAATAACACATACGATTCTTGTGGTTGTTCTTCAACACCTTAATCCAGTTCCAATTGCCATAAATGTTCCGAAAGTTCCACCACCTTGTATCATTACTTTGCCTACATTATTCACTAAATCACGTCCTCTAAGCCCATATCTGAAGCATAAAATAACAAAATTGTAAATATGGAACAGAATTGCGTAATTTGTTCATGCCGGAAAGATCCAGCAAGACTTGAAATATTCATGTAATTCACTTTGACTTCTTACCTTAATGCTGAAAATCCACCAAATAATGCACCACTGGCCATTCCAACACAAAATCCAATTGTAAAACCTAATATAAATAAGAAGCTAGTTGGTGTTATGTCTTTAAACAATTTAATGCCATGAGTATTTACCATATTTCATTTTATCGAAGCAGCTAGGCTGAGATCCTTGTTGAAATGCATTGCTTGGAACAGGCATTATGATAAGGAATATCTGGCAAGATTATATTACCTTAAACAATCCTTAAATTTTGTTAATTTTAGTTTAAAACTCGTTTAAAACGACAGTAAACAAGTGCTTAAGAACACTTCAATTATTTTAAACATTTGTGAGGTTTTCGTGCACAAAAATTTGCTAGTACCATTCCCTTTGTTATTGTTTTTGAAATTTTCATAACATGCTTCAGAAAAATTAATTATTTTAATTATAATAGAGAAGTTTGATACAAATCCTTATTAATTACGGTTGAAACTAGTTAAGTGTCTTGTTTATGATCGATTTGCTTTGCAAATCAACAAATATTTGGCCAGGAATAAAAAGAAAACAAATACTTGAACGAAAAGTATTAACAGTAAGCTCATCTAGATCTGCTGTAATTCATTTAAATTATTCACTGAACTAGACTCATTACACTACAAGGAAAAAAGACAGAATTCAAAATGAGCTTGATCAAATTGTTTGGGAATATAAAATTAAGGAACATCCAAAGATATTGCACAGCACTGCAAGTAGTTAAACCATCAGAGATATCCAGTAAAAATACAGATCTTCTGGAACAAACTAATAGTGAGTTAATTCCCGGCGATGATTTTCCAACATTCTTTCCGTCATCATTTAATTTCGCTGCATACGTCAATAAATCAGAGACACTGCAAAAGTTCGTCGATCTTGGAGTGGATTTAAGTAAAATAGAGAAAAGAAAAGGACTTCCACAGTTTTTATTAAAATTAGACTTTAATCGAGACGTCAAAAATCATCTTTTGCTGCTTCATGATTTAGAAATTCCTGCAGAAATATATGGTGAATTCCTTACCAAAAATCCACTCTTCTTTAAAAATTCTATTGAGGATCTTGAGACTCGAATTTATTACCTTCGATCTAAGAACTTTTCAATTGAACAAGTCAGAACTATAGTCTCGAAAGATCCTTTTTGGCTTAATTTTTCAACGAAACGAATAGATAGAAGACTCGGTTGGTTCCAGAAGAATTTCTCATTAACAGGCGATGACATCCGATATTTGGCAACGAAATTTCCAAGAGTAATAACTTCGCATTTAATGACAGTTCGAGAATTGACGTTTAGTGTTAAGGAAGAAATGGGATTTGACAAAGAGGGAACTAAAGCATTACTTTTAGCGGTTCCAAAGGTTTTCATGATGAGTAAGTATTGCAATGTTCCCTAACAGACAAAGAGCATGCTCTCGATCAAGAATATGGTTGAGAACACGCTTTTTTAACATCCTCTCAAGATTCCAGTAAAGAGCATGTTTTATATACTCTCAAGAGCATGATCAGAAGAGTATACAAAAAGCATGATCACTCACATCCTCATGAGATTATACTCAAATTTTTCTTTCTATATACTTCACAAGCGCTAGCAGAAATCACTAGTATAACTCCTATATACTTCACAAGAGAAACAGAAATCACTTTTATAAGTAATTATTTTGGACTTTCTATAGTTTAAATATGTCTTTTCGCCATTTGAAAGTTATTGAATTTCAGAAGGCATTAGACAAGATGAACAGTTATCAGGACAAACTACAACACAGCGTACTCGGGATCGAATCACCAAAAAAGAAGAAAAATATCAATTTCTCAAAAACATGATCAAGAGCATAATCACAAGCTCATTAAACTTTTTAATTAGTAAAATTAAAGCATGATCAGCAGAACTTGCATGTAAAATTTGCAAGTAAAAAAACGTACTCTTGAGAGCGTGATTTCTGTGGTACCCTGCTGCGATCTCCGTTTGTATGGGAGAGTACGCTAATTTAGCGTCATCAAATTAAAATATTGATTTTTAAAAATCATGCTCAGATCGTGCTCTTTGTCTGTTAGGGGTTATGAATTGGGCTGCTGTAATTTTAACAATACTCATTTTATTTACAGATAAAGACAGTCTTAATGAACGGTTTAATTATGTTCATAACTTGATGAAATTTTCACACGACAAGATCCTTCAAAATCCACAAATTCTCAACACAAGACTCAGTCGAATTGAAAGCCGCCATAAATTCCTGAAATTACTACATCGTGATCAATTTGATGAAAAGTTACCTCGTTATGTATCACTAGAAAACATATATAGCGGTACCGATGATGAGTTTGTTACACAAGTGTGCGAATCAACAATTGAGACATATGATAATTTCCTTAAAACACTTTAGTGTAGTTAATAGCTAAAAGAACTGTAAGAAATTTAATTTGGCAATAAAACGCTCGTAATAATGATTTTGCAACTTTGTCTTAGACTTATTATTTTTCGCGACTTTTATGGTCGTGTTATAAATACATCTGCTGCTCCAGAAATTTACATGCTGTTTTTAAAACGCTTTTTATTGAGTTGCGCTGTCACGTTTAAATCTTGCAATCGATCTTACGACCATTCTACTGCTCCAATCAAGCTCTATTTTTTTTTCATATGCATTACGATGACAATTTAATATTTCAGCATTCTAGAACCGTAAAAATATATTATTACAGAACAATTTATTTCTAAAGTAATCTACAATCAATTGGACATCAGATTTAACTGCTTGAATGATGCTATTTTACACCAAAAAGAATGTTCAAATCTATAACTGTCCACGAATTTCATCCATTCAAGATTCTTACCGTTGATCTCGTTTCTCATACTTCGAATTTTTGTCATTGTAAAGCATTCAGAAGTCATGAAAATTCAGAACTTGTATGTAGAAACAAGCATCTTGATTAATTATTTCTGCTTTTGCACAGTTTGAAGTCATTACTCAATTAAAACAAATCTACGATCAACATGAAGACAATCAACAAGCAGGCCCCTGAAAAAGTTCTCATTTACAAGAAACAACATGAAATTTTCAACTGGAATGTCATCGTCGAAGAAAATGCAAATAATTAATTCGTCAACGATGCAAGCAAAGTTAAACAAGGAAGAAATAATCTAACAAATAGTGCTTACAGCAAATTGTCGACTGTAAAGATTTTGAAGAGAACTTTGCACTTAAAAAGCACTCCATTATCAACAAGGATGCTAGCAACCGGAATGTCAAACACAAGATCAACGATTAGTTCAGAAAAAGTATCAACAATCAAGATGGAAGTATAGTCGCCGTATGAAACTTCCATCTACGGGTCGCCCATAGTCCAAAATTGAAAATGTATTTCCTACTTGGTTCTTTGCTCCAAAAAAATTTTAGGATGTTTTATTTGTATTTGTTTTAAGCACTTGAATATTTATGCAAAGTTTCAATCCATTTGGATAAACCCTCGAAGAAAAAAGTGACAAAATTGATTTTGACTAGGGTCGCTCCTAGTCCGAAATTGAAAATGTATTTCCTTCTTGGTTCTTTGCTCAAAAAAATTTTAGGATGTTTTATTTGTATTTGTTTTAAGCACTAGAATATTTATGTAAAGTTTCAATCCATTTGGAAAAACCCTCGAAGAAAAAAGTGACAAAATTGATTTTGACTAGGGTCGCCCCTAGTCCAAAATTGAAAATGTATTTCCTTCTTGGTTCTTTGCTCAAAAAAATTTTAGGACGTTTTATTTGTATTTGTTTTAAGCACTAGAATATTTATAAAAAGTTTAAATCCATTTGGATAAACCTTCGAAAAAAAATGAAAAACTAGATTTTGACTAGGGTCGCCCCTAGTCCAAATGTGAAAATGTATTTCCTACTTGGTTCTTTGCTCAAAAAATTTTAGGATGTTTTATTTGTATTTGTTTTAAGCACTAAAATATTTGTGCAAAGTTTCAATCCATTTGGATAAACCTTCGAAGAAAAAAGTGACAAAATTTATTTTGACTAGGGTCGCCCATAGTCCAAAATTGAAAATGTATTTCCTACTTGGTTCTTTGCTCCAAAAAAATTTTAGGATGTTTTATTTGTATTTGTTTTAAGCACTTGAATATTTATGCAAAGTTTCAATCCATTTGGATAAACCCTCGAAGAAAAAAGTGACAAAATTGATTTTGACTAGGGTCGCCCATAGTCCAAAATTGAAAATGTATTTCCTACTTGGTTCTTTGCTCCAAAAAAATTTTAGGATGTTTTATTTGTATTTGTTTTAAGCACTTGAATATTTATGCAAAGTTTCAATCCATTTGGATAAACCCTCGAAGAAAAAAGTGACAAAATTGATTTTGACTAGGGTCGCCCATAGTCCAAAATTGAAAATGTATTTCCTACTTGGTTCTTTGCTCCAAAAAAATTTTAGGATGTTTTATTTGTATTTGTTTTAAGCACTTGAATATTTATGCAAAGTTTCAATCCATTTGGATAAACCCTCGAAGAAAAAAGTGACAAAATTGATTTTGACTAGGGTCGCTCCTAGTCCAAAATTGAAAATGTATTTCCTTCTTGGTTCTTTGCTCAAAAAAATTTTAGGATGTTTTATTTGTATTTGTTTTAAGCACTAGAATATTTATGTAAAGTTTCAATCCATTTGGAAAAACCCTCGAAGAAAAAAGTGACAAAATTGATTTTGACTAGGGTCGCTCCTAGTCCAAAATTGAAAATGTATTTCCTTCTTGGTTCTTTGCTCAAAAAAATTTTAGGACGTTTTATTTGTATTTGTTTTAAGCACTAGAATATTTATAAAAAGTTTAAATCCATTTGGATAAACCTTCGAAAAAAAAATGAAAAATTAGATTTTTACCAGGGTCGCCCCTAGTCCAAATGTGAAAATGTATTTCCTACTTGGTTCTTTGCTCAAAAAATTTTAGGATGTTTTATTTGTATTTGTTTTAAGCACTAAAATATTTGTGCAAAGTTTCAATCCATTTGGATAAACCTTCGAAGAAAAAAGTGACAAAATTTATTTTGACTAGAGTCGCCCCTAGTCCAAAATTAAAAATGTATTTCCTACTTGGTTCTTTGCTCAGAAAAATTTTAGGATGTTTTATTTTTATTTGTTTTAAGCACTAGAATATTCATGCAAAGTTTCAATCCATTTGGATAAACCTTCGAAGAAAAAAGTGACAAAATTGATTTTGACTAGGGTCGCTCCTAGTCTAAAATTGAAAATGTATTTCCTACTTGGTTCTTTGCTCAAAAAAAATTTAGAATGTTTTATTTGTTTATTTGTTTATTTGTTTTAAGCACTAGAATATTTATGCAAAGTTTCAATCCATTTGGATAAACCTTCGAAGATAAAAGTGACAAAATTGATTTTGACTAGGGTCGCTCCTAGTCTAAAATTGAAAATGTATTTCCTACTTGGTTCTTTGCTCAAAAGAATTTAGGATGTTTTATTTGTATTTGTTTTAAGCACTTGAATATTTATGCAAAGTTTCAATCCATTTGGATAAACCCTCGAAGAAAAAAGTGACAAAATTGATTTTGACTAGGGTCGCTCCTAGTCTAAAATTGAAAATGTATTTCCTACTTGGTTCTTTGCTCAAAAAAATTTTAGGACGTTTTATTTGTATTTGTTTTAAGCACTAGAATATTTATAAAAAGTTTCAATCCATTTGGATAAACCCTCGAAGAAAAATGAAAAACTAGATTTTGAGTAGACCTGTCCAAAGTTCATAATTGAAAATGTATTTCCTTCTTGGTTCTTTGCTCAAAAAAATTTTAGGATGTTTTATTTGTATTTGTTTTAAGCACTAGAATATTTATGTAAAGTTTCAATCCATTTGGAAAAACCCTCGAAGAAAAAAGTGACAAAATTGATTTTGACTAGGGTCGCCCCTAGTCCAAAATTGAAAATGTATTTCCTTCTTGGTTCTTTGCTCAAAAAAATTTTAGGACGTTTTATTTGTATTTGTTTTAAGCACTAGAATATTTATAAAAAGTTTAAATCCATTTGGATAAACCTTCGAAAAAAAAATGAAAAATTAGATTTTTAACAGGGTCGCCTAGTCCAAATGTGAAAATGTATTTCCTACTTGGTTCTTTGCTCAAAAAATTTTAGGATGTTTTATTTGTATTTGTTTTAAGCACTAAAATATTCGTGCAAAGTTTCAATCCATTTGGATAAACCTTCGAAGAAAAAAGTGACAAAATTGATTTTGACTAGACCTGTCCAAAGTTCATAATTGAAAATGTATTTCCTACTTGGTTTTTTGCTCGAAAAAATTTTAAGATGTTTTATTTGTATTTGTTTTAAGCACTAGAATATTTATGCAAAGTTTCAATCCATTTGGATAAACCCTCGAAGAAAAAAGTGACCAAATTGATTTTGACTAGGGTCGCCCATAGTCCAGAATTGAAAATTTATTTCCTACTTGGTTCTTTGCTCCAAAAAAATTTTAGGATGTTTTATTTGTATTTGTTTTAAGCACTAGAATATTTATGCAAAGTTTCAATCCATTTGGATAAACCCTCGAAGAAAAAAGTGACCAAATTGATTTTGACTAGGGTCGCCCATAGTCCAGAATTGAAAATGTATTTCCTACTTGGTTCTTTGCTCCAAAAAATTTTAGGATGTTTTATTTGTATTTGTTTTAAGCACTTGAATATTTATGCAAAGTTTCAATCCATTTGGATAAACCCTCGAAGAAAAAAGTGACAAAATTGATTTTGACTAGGGTCGCTCCTAGTCCAAAATTGAAAATGTATTTCCTTCTTGGTTCTTTGCTCAAAAAAATTTTAGGATGTTTTATTTGTATTTGTTTTAAGCACTTGAATATTTATGTAAAGTTTCAATCCATTTGGAAAAACCCTCGAAGAAAAAAGTGACAAAATTGATTTTGACTAGGGTCGCCCCTAGTCCAAAATTGAAAATGTATTTCCTTCTTGGTTCTTTGCTCAAAAAAATTTTAGGATGTTTTATTTGTATTTGTTTTAAGCACTAGAATATTCATGCAAAGTTTCAATCCATTTGGATAAACCTTCGAAGAAAAAAGTGACAAAATTGATTTTGACTAGGGTCGCCCCTAGTCCAAAATTGAAAATGTATTTCCTTCTTGGTTCTTTGCTCAAAAAAATTTTAGGATGTTTTATTTGTATTTGTTTTAAGCACTTGAATATTTATGTAAAGTTTCAATCCATTTGGAAAAACCCTCGAAGAAAAAAGTGACAAAATTGATTTTGACTAGGGTCGCCCCTAGTCCAAAATTGAAAATGTATTTCCTTCTTGGTTCTTTGCTCAAAAAAAATTTTTTCATCCAAAATTTAATTTAAAAAAAAATCACAGTGAACTTTTAATTTGAAAAATTCGGAAGAAAGGAAAGTATTTTG